TTGGCCCCGCAGTTCTTCTGCAAAGACTTGATGGCCTCGCAGTTTTTTGTAAAGACTTACTGGCTCGCATGTACTTTCGAAATGAACCGCTGACCAAGGAACTCTTGATGAAAATTCGCGTGATTTGAACTTCTGGCTAAATCAGACTAGTCCCACCGATTTGGGGTTCCTTGTGATGTCTGTATTCGCTGGCTCGCCAGCTCTTCTGTACTGAATCCCTGACTTTAAGGTAGGGATTCGCCGGTCTAACATCGGTTCTGTTCGAATTCGCTGGGGACGCGTATCTTCCGTACCCACTTGTTTGCCACGGACTTTTTCTGTTCTGACTCGATGAATCCTCAGCTTTTTCCTATCGACTCACTGGCTCAACAGCTGTTCCCTAGGGTCGCTGATCCCTCAAATCTTCTGTACCAACTTACTGAACCCGCTGGCTTAGGAGCTTTTCATAAATACTCGTTTGGCTCGCAGGTATTCTGCACAGACTTGCTGTTTTTTTTTCGTTCAGACTCACTGGCACCGTTCAGACTCGCTGATCCAACACGGAGTCACTAGGGTAAAAACTTATCTGTATGGACTCTTTGGCCCAGCAGTACCTCTATACGAACTATCTTGCGCAGCAGTCTTTCTGTACGGACTCGCTGGACTAGTAGCTCTTCCGTTGAGAATCGCTGACAACTTAACAAGTCTACCAGGCTCCTATCCAGTTTATCTCGTCTTTATAGACTCAATGGCAATTCATTTCATTTATTAGACTTCCTAGCCTATTCAGTTCGATTTTGCAGGTGCAATAAAATCATCATCTCTATCCATATGGTGTCTCCTAGACTACTCTGCTCATTCGTATAAACTCCTTGACAACTCTGTTTCTCTTAAGAGAATCCTTGGTCACTCTACTTCGTGTATGTAAAATTCCTGGCGATTCCGCTCATTTGTATTCTTCCCATGGTCTTCTTTAGGCAAATTCAAGTTCCGATTAGATCTAGCCTTATCCAAACTATTTTTTTAATAAAACCTCATAGATTTCTTATGGAGCTTCACAGCCATGATACCTGCAAGACACCTTCAAAGTGCCAAACCTTTCGAAATGTGTTTTTATTTTTTTTGAGATGAAGGGGAACTCAAACTTCACGACCTTCACCAGGGAGTTGTGAGGAGAGAGAGAGGGGGCTAACCTCAACAAAATGCCTTTATTTACTCCTTATTTGGATTAATTAAGCCATATCCTACAACACATGTGTATGTTATGTGTAGATTAGTTCTTGTAAAAAAAAACTTGTGGAAAAAAATCGCCAGTATGGAACTGACCCATATTCCATACTCGTCAAACAATTTCCTCATTTTCAATTCATTTTCTTTGGGTATTTCATTTATTTTTGTTATTTCCTCCAACATCTCGAGAAGTGCCACAACCTCGTGTTGACAATATTTCTTAACACCATTTTTTCAGAACAAAATATTTTCCATTGAAACGATTAATACCTTTAATTAAGAAGACAAACCAGGCTAGAAAATAGATTTTAGCGACCGGTAATGAACATCTCTGCAAAGAATGTTGAACTTGCTTTAGAAGAAGAAAAAAAAAATAGTGGCGAGGACAATTAACACCATAACACTTTAGTAAAATAGCTGAACAAAAGCCAATAAAGAAGCCCGCAATTAGCGGTCAGTAGTGCGGCAGAAATTCTGCCATATAACCTTACCTCTCAAGTCCAAACATAAGCCGGATAAAAATACTTTCATAATTAGTCGGAGATGATAAGACAGACATTCGAAAGAATGAAAAAAAAATTGGCCATTGAGTTCAAGTCACACAAAACGGTAGTAATTGTCCTCCACCAGCACCACCACTGGATGTAAGTGGAGGGAACAGCATGCATGTTTCCTTGCAAGACATATGACCCTCTTCTTTTGTTGTTATTGTTTATTTGTTGTAATGCGTTCTCTTGCCTGGCACAATAAATATTTCAATTAACATTTTCTTCAAGGCATCCGAACCGAAACAGCCATAACAATTTATCTTCATGATTAAATTGAAATTGCCCGTTTGTTCCGACCATGATTGGAGGGAGGGAGTGAGTGTATGTGTGTGCGTAAGCACTTTTGCGAAAATAAATGAAAAATTGAAAATTATTAAATTATATTCGTACTTAAACGAGAATTGCACAATTGATATGAACTTAAGAGGTGTGTCTGTCCCGCAGTTGGGAAAGTGGCCGGCCAGCCAGCCAGCACCCAATTGAATTTTATTGTTGTAAAGACTTTGGTGATTCGGAGCATCGGACTTTAATGGGAGATGATTTTTTGAGGAGAATGATATGTCGCTGTTAAAGCGATTTTTGTTTTGAAAAACACTTCGATCGTAAACAACGGAGAAAAATGTATAAATACAGAGAAAACTCGAAAAATCGAGCGAGCCCCACGTTGGGCGCCAGATAATGAAATAAGAGATGATATCAGATAGAGGTTGTTTTTTGAAGAAGTAAGCAAAATCAGGCAAAGATATTTTAAAAAGTGGCGACGAGAATGTAATTTTAAAAATAAACAGGACCAGTTTTGTCAGCCTTTTTCCCACATTTGGCGCCAAATGTTTGCAGTGTAGAAGGTGAAACTTCAAATTATGAACTGTTGAATTTTTTATAAAAGGATTTTGGAAAACAAAGCAACCCTTAACTACAAAAATCATTCTAAGAGAACCACACGTTGGGCGCCATTTTATGAAATAATACATTATATAAAATGATTCAATCGAAAAAAGCAATCAGGAAGAACAAGAAATGTTTTTTCTTTGATTCTAGCTCCACATTAGGCGCCAGAAATATATATGGGGGTATAAGGAGAAGTTTCAAATTAAGAACTACATATTGAAACTTTTTATGGACTGGAACTTGTTATTTAAGAGAATATTTTTCAAAGTCCCTAAAAGCCCGTGGATTTTTTTTAAATATTTTTCAGAGTCTCCAATAACTCGTGGATTTTTTAAAAATATTCTTTAAAATCTCCAAAAACTAGTGGATTTTTTAAAGTCTCCAATAACTCGTGGATTTTTTAAAAATATTTTTCAAAGTTTCCAATAACTTGTGGATTTTTTAAAAATATTCTTCAAAATCTCCAATAACTCGTGGATTTTTTAAAAATATTCTTTAAAATCTCCAATATCTCGTGAACTTTTTAAAATTTTTTTAAAAATATTTTCCAGGATCTATTAGAGTTCGTATATTTTTTAATTTTTTTTTTTTAAATATCCAGGGTCTATAAGAGCTCGTGGATTTTTTAAAAATATTTTCCAGAATCTATAAGAGCTGTTGGATTTTTTAAAAATATTTTCCAGGGTCTATAAGAATTCGGGGATTTTTTAAAAATATTTTCCTGGGTCTATAGGAGCTCGTGGACATTTTAAAAATAGTTTCCAGGGTCTAAAAGAGCTCGTAGATTTTCTAAAAATATTTTCCAGTGTCTATAAGAGCTCGTGGATTTTTTAAAAATATTTTTCAAAGTTTCCAATAAATCGTGGATTTTTTAAAAAAAGATTTTAAAATATTTTTCAAAGTCTTCAATAACTCAAGGATTTTTTTTAAAAAAAAGATTTAAAAATATTTTTCAAAGTATCCAATAACTCGTGGATTTTTTTTAAAAAGATTTAAAAATATTTTTCAAAGTATCCAATAACTCGTGGATTTTTTTTAAAAAGATTTAAAAATATTTTTTAAAGTCTCCAATAACTCGTGGATTTAAAAAAAAAATTCAAAAATATTTTTCAAAGTCTCCAAAAACTCGTGGAATTTTTAAAAAAGATTTAGAAATATTTTTCAAAGTCTCCAATAACTCGTGGATTTTTTAAAAAAGGTTTAAAAATATTTTTCAAAATCTCCAATAACTCGTGGATTTTTTAAAAATATTTTTCAAAGTCACCAATAACTCGTGGATTTTTTAAAAAAGATTTAAAAATATTTTACATGGTCTATAAGAGTTTGTTGATTTTTTAAAAATATTTTCCAGGCACTATAAAAGCTCGTGGATTTTTAAAAAAAAAAATTCTATGGTCTATAAGAGCTCGTGGATTTTTTTAAAAATATTTTCCAAGTTTTCTAAAGGCTCGTGGATTTTTTAAAAAAATATTTTTCGGAGTTTCAATAATCACGAAGATTTTTTAAAAAAATATTTTTTCGGAGTTTCAATAATCTCGAAGATTTTTTTAAAAATATTTTTCGGAGTTTCAATAATCTCGAAGATTTTTTAAAAAATATTTTTTTCGGAGTTTCAATAATCTCGAAAAATTTTAAAAAATATTTTCCAGGGTCTATAATACCTCGTGGATTTTTTAAAAATATTTTTCGGAGTTACAATTTCTCGAAGATTTTTTAAAAAATATTTTTCGAAGTTTCAATATTCTCGAAGATTTTTTAAAAATATTTTCTAAGACCCGACAAAAGTTGTTGACATTTTTTTAAATAACTTGAAGACCTGACAAAAGTTGGTGGAATTTTGTTCGTATTTTTATAGTTTTCAGTTTTTTAGGGTTCATATTTTTAATAATTTAAATTCAAAATTATTATTTTTTAATTAATTTATTTTTTATTTATTTCTTTATTTACTTAGTTATGTTTTTATTTCTATACTTATACATCAATATTTTATTTAATTTATATACTTTTTGCGCCATTTCTTTAAATCTATTTTTCGTTTTGAAAATTCCAAAGTCCATGTTGCTATTTTTTTCTACGTCATCAATAAAGTGTTTCTAATTTGTTTTTAATATCGCCGAATTTGTCACAGTTTGTAATTTGATATCTCCCGCTGCTATTACTAAACTGAAGAAGCGTAGGCCTCGTGCTAAGAAGATTTAACACCTTCGAGCGACACCCACTCTCGTTAAAACACAAAAACATACCCAGCACGACTAATGCCTTAACACCTTTCAATAAAAAATGTTTCGAACAAAATGTTTTTAAAATAAAACTCGAATTTAATATCATCATTTTTATGTCTTTCTCCAATTTCAGATTAAAAATTCAAAATCGGAAGAAAACACAACGACAGCAACAACAACGTAGAAAAACACAAGACATTTACATATGTCGTGGGTGATTAACTGAAAGAGAAACAAAATTGGAAGCCCTCAACTTGTGTGTGTGTAGATAGCTATTTCTGCCCGCAAGCATCTCCGACGACATGTCATTGTAAAATGTTACCATTTCCCTTAAAGCTCTATCGAAATCCGTACCAAAGTTTGAAACCCAATTGAGAAGAAATTTCCAATAACAAAAAAAAAAAAAAAAAAAAACGAAAGAGAGAGAAAGATACGAATTTATTAAATTTTATTTTAAAATAATTGAAAACCCAGAGAGAGAATATACCCCCAAAAATTCTCCCTTCACCCCCCCCCCATATTGCTATTGAGCGGCATTTGAAATGCCCTTAGAATGTGAGCGAAGTTCTGCTTCGCCTTCCACAACAGCACCAGCTCTAAGCTCAGCAGCTTTGATAGCCTCTGAAGCACAACACAGCCAACAGTCGGTCTCACCTTCCAACCATTTAAATGAAGAATTGAACCATCTACAAGTGACAACAGCAGCAACAACAACAACCACATCGATCATGGACGGTGAAATGTCAACATCACAAACTTCAACAACATCCAACGGCAGCAGCTGTAATGGTGGCAGCGGTCGCAAGACGGTAAGTTTGCACATCAGAAAAAGAATATATTTTCTAAAAATTTATATTTTTATGAGATATTAAAATATACAAAAAAAAAAAAAAAAAAAATCCATAAAAAATCGAAACTGTAAAGAAAAAAAATTTGGAAAGTTCCTAATTTTTGTGGATTTTTTAAATATTTTTCAAGATATCTAAAATTTCGTGGATTTTTTAAAAATATTTTTCAAAGTCTATAAAACCTGATAGATTTTTTAAAAATATGTTTCCAATGCTCGTGTATTTTTTTAAATATTATTCAAAGCCTATAAAAGCTCGTAGATTTTTTAAAAATATTTTTCAAGGTCTTAAAAGCTCATGGATTTTTTAAAAATATTTTTTAAAGCCCTAAAAAGCTCGACGATTTTTTTGAAATATTTTTCCAAGTCTCCTTACAGCTCATGGATTTGTGGAAAATATTTTGCAATGTCCGTAAAAGTTCTTGGTTTTTTTTTTTTAATATTTTTTAAAGTTTCTAAAAACTCGAGGACTTTTTAAAAACATTTTTCAAAGTCTCTAAGGGCTCGTGGACTTTTTAAAAAAATTTGTTAAAATCTCTAAAAGCTCGTGAGTTTATTTAAATATTTTTCCAAAGCACGTAGACTTTTTAAAAATACTTTTTAAAGCCTCTACAAGCTGGTCGATTTTTTTAAAATATTCTTCAAACACTCTAAAAGCTTGTTGATTTCTTTTCAAATATTTTTCAAAGTCTCTAAGTGCTTGCGATTTTTTTTAAATATTTTTTTAAAATCTCTAAAAGCTCGTGGATTTTTTAAAAATACTTTTCATGGTCTCTAAAAGCTTGTGGTTTTTTAAATATATGTTTCAAAGACTCTAAAAGCTCGTGGATTTCTTAAAAATACTTTTCATGGTCTCTAAAAGCTTGTGGTTTTTTAAATATATGTTTCAAAGACTCTAAAAGCTCGTGGATTTCTTAAAAATATATTTCAAATCCTCTAAAAGTCCCGAGACTTTTTAAAAATATGTTTCAAAGTCTATAAAAGCTCGTGGATTTTTTAAAACTATTTTTCCAGTGCTCGGATTTTTTAAAAATATTTTTCAGAGCCTCTAAAAGCTCGTGGGTTTTTTTAAATATTTTTCAAAGTGTAGAAAAGCTCATGGATTTTTTTTTTTAAATATTTTTCAAAGTCTGCAAAAGCTGGTGGATTTTTTTCAATATTTTTCAAAGCCTCTTAAAGCTCGTGGATTTTCTAAAAATATTTTTCAAAGCCTCTAAAAGCTGGTGGATTTTTAAAAAATAAATTTTCAAGGCAAAAAAAGCTCGTGGATTTTTTTTAAATATTTTTTAAAGTTTCTAAAAGCTCGTGGACTTTTTAAAATATTTTTATAAAATCTAAAATCTCGTGGGTTTCTTTAAATATTTTTCCAAAGCACGTAGACTTTTTACAAATACTTTTCAAAGCCTCTACAAGCTGGTCGATTTTTTTAAATATTCTTCAAACTCTCTAAAAGCTTGTTGATTTCTTTTCAAATATTTTTCAAAGTCTCTAAGTGCTTGCGAATTTTTTTAAAAATATTTTTTTAAAATCTCTAAAAGCTCGTGGATTTTTTAAAAATAGTTTTTAAAATCTCTAAAAACTCGTGGATTTTTTAAAAATACTTTTCAAAGTCTCTAAAAGCTCGTGGATTTCTTAAAAATATATTTCAAATCCTCTAAAAGTCCCGAGACATTTTAAAAATATATTTCAAAGTCTATAAAAACTCGTGGATTTTTTAAAACTATTTTTCTAATGCTCGTGGATTTTTTAAAAATATTTGTTAAAGCCTATTAAAAAAGTCGTGGATTTTTTAAAAAATATTTTTCAAAGCCTCTTAAAGAAATCGTGGATTTTTTAAAAAATATTTTTCAAAGCCTCTTAAAGCTCGTGGATTTTTTAAAAATATTTTTTAAAACATCTAAAAAAGGTCGTGGATTTTTTAAAAATATTTTTTAAAACATCTAAAAAAGTTCGTGGATTTTTTAAAAATATTTTTTAAAGCCTCTTAAAGAAGTCGTGGATTTTTTAAAAAATATTTTTCAAAGCCTCTTAAAGAAATCGTGGATTTTTTAAAAAATATTTTTTAAAGCCTCTTAAAGAAGTCGTGGATTTTTTAAAAATATTTTTTAAAACATCTAAAAAAGGTCGTGGATTTTTTAAAAATATTTTTTAAAATATCTAAAAAAGGTCGTGGATTTATTAAAAATATTTTTTAAAGCCTCTAAAAAGGGTCGTGGATTTTTTAAAAATATTTTTCAAATCCTCTAAAAAAGGTCGTGGATTTTTTAAAAATATTTTTCAAAGCCTCTAAAAAAGGTCGTGGATTTTTTAAAAATATTTTTCAAAGTCTAAAAAAGCTGTTGGATTTTTTAAAAATATTTTTCAAAGTCTAAAAAAGCTGTTGGATTTACGGCCAAAAGTGCCTCGGCCAAAAGTGCCTCGTCGAAATACTGGTTTTAGACTCTAGGTCTCTTTGGACCAAATCCGTTTTAAGATATTTGGAGTCGATATATGAGTGTCCGTTTGTCCATTTTTCTGGCTGGCTGGTGCGGCCGATAACTCTCGAAAGCACTATCTCACTTCGCCCAATCTTGGCTCACCATAATATTATTATCAGACTTAGATCGATTTCGAAGATGGGAAATTTTGCACCATTTATTTTGGTACCGCCCCCACAAAAGGTCAACATTTTCAAAGAAAATAATTTCCCTTATTCCAATATTTTGATTTATACAAAATCTGGTGCAAAGATGGTAGATATGGACCCATTTCTTCAAGTACCTCCCCCACAAAGGGGTCAAAATTTTGAATAACCAAAACGATGATAAAATTCAAATTTCACACTTTTCGATATTTCCATCAACACAAGATCTGTTTTGAACGGGTCAAAAATTTGAATAACCATTAAGTTCATAAAACGCGAAATGAGCATCCGATTCTGTTCAAATTCCACACATTGCAATATGTCTACTTAATCAAAATGTGGTGTGAATATGGGATATATCGGTCCACTCCTTTCGGTACTTTCCGCACAAAGGGGCCAAAATTTTGAATAACCATGAAGCTTATAAAACGAGAAATGTGCATCTGATTCCTTTCAAACTCGGCACACTGAATTCTTTAATCAATACAAGATCTGGTGTAAAGATGGAATGTATCGGCCCACTCATTCTGGTACCTCCCCTATGTGGGGGTCAAAATGTTGTATAACCAACACGACCATAACATGCGAAATGAGCATCCGATTTTGTTCAAATTTCACAGATCCTAGTATTTCTATCAGCACGAGATCTGTTGTAAAAATGCAATATATAGGACCACCCCTTCTGGTACCTCCCCCACAAAGGAGTTTAAATTGTAAATATTTATCTCTCTCATAACTTGCCAAAATAATTTAGCGATTCTATTCTATTTTTAACTTGGGGTAACTAAATATTTCTCTCAACTAGAGATCCGATGTGAATATGGAAGTTATCGGTTCACTCTTTCACATAACTCCTACTCAAAATGGTAAATTTTAGAATAACAAAAATTCGCATAGAATTGGAAATAAATGTTCAATTTTCTTCTTTTTATCCTTCGACATCTCCTCCATAAATGGTCGATCTTTTGAACAATCATAATGTAAGTCCAAATATGGTTAAATAAGCAGTCATTGGTTAAGGGGGGTAACCATCTGTCGGCAAACCCGACTGATACTTTTTTACTTGCTTTTTTTTAATCCACGATGATGGATAGAAAAGAGATTTTTTCTAAAAAATACGTGCTTATAGCCTGAAAAGCAATATTTAAAAAAAAAATCCAAGCCCTTCAATGGCCAAGAAAAAGTATTCCCAAAATACCCACAGATATATGGAGAACATGAAAAAAAAATTGGAAAAAAATCCACGAGAATAGGCTGGCCCTGCAAAATATTTTTTAAATTTCAAAAATATAGGTAGTCCTTAAAAAAATTTTAAATTTCAAAAAGATAGTCCTTGGAAAATATATATATTTTTTTTTAAACCTACGTGTTCTTTGTAAATCCATGAGCTGTTACAGACCTTGAACAATATTTTTTTTTTAATCCTATATGTTCTTGGAAATTCCACGAGTTGTTACAGAGCTTGAAAAATATTTCTAAAAAATCCACGAGCTCTTTTTGACCCTGGAAAATATTTAAAAAAAAAAACCCCGAGCTCTTCTAGACCTTGGAAAATATTTTGAAAAAAATCTACGAGCTCCTGTAGAAAACAAAGAAACTCTAAGAACATTTAATAGCCTTCCTTTAAAACTACAACCTACCTTTCTCCCTCCTCCCTTCTCCCACAAAATCTGTAACTTTTTGAAATACTTTTACCATAGACAAATTAAGGTATAGACTAAAAAGTTTTAAAATTTACCCCTTCCGGCAGATGTCACTATTGTTGATCTTGGGCCAGTCAAGTCACTCAGGGCTAGTGAAGTCACTCGACTTCGAAAACAATTTATTTATTTTTCTGCTATTTAAGTTCTATATTTTTATATTTCACGTCATATTTGGATAATGTAAAAATAAACAAAGTCACTGTTTCGTTTTTAATTGATAAATAATAAAGAATCATAAAAATATTCAATATTTTGTATTTTGAGAGAATTGAGTGAATAGACTTTTGCTCTCTCACAGCATGAACGACATCTATTGAAGCACTTTTTTCGAAGATAACAGATGAGACAACTTTTTAGTCTATACCTTAATTTGTCTATGCTTTTACTATTTTGTAGGCTTCCTTTCAACTCCCTAAGCCCAAAAAAGCCTCTCCACCCATTCCATTCCATTTATCGCACTTAACACAACTTATAGTTTGTTTTTGGTTTTTTCGTTCTCTTTTATGCAAGTTAATGTTGCACTTAAAACCATTTGTCGTTTGCCCAGGCACAAAGCGCACAACCAACAACAAAAAAAATGTACTTTCCTCGCATTTTCCATATCGTGCAGTTGTTAGTGACCTTTTTTTCTTCAAA